TCGTATTACACGAGGATAACACCTCCCTGGATATATGATCACAGGGAGGTGATCAGATATCCAGTATTTGTTAGTGTGACTTTGTAAATGGTCCAAGTCGGACCGAAACGTCGTCGTAAGCTCCTCTCTTCCTATGTGCGGGTTATTTGTGTATTGTTCTAGTCACGGTATTGTTCCTTTTTGTTATTTATTTTTGTTAGTATTTGCTAACTAATAATGAAACAAATGTGTGAAGATAGCAACAAAGGGACAGATAACAATAAAAGGGACAGATAACAATAAAAGGGACAGATAACAATAAAAGGGACAGATAACAATAAAAGGGACAGATAACAATAAAAGGGACAGATAACAATAAAAGGGACAGATAACAATAAAAGGGACAGATAACAATAAAAGGGACAGATAACAATAAAAGGGACAGATAACAATAAAAGGGACAGATAACAATAAAAGGAGATATAATAATAAAGAGAGAGATAACAATAAAAAGAGAGATAACAATATAGGGAGAAATAACAATATAAGGAGATATAACAATATAAGGAGACATAAGAATATATGGAGATATAATAATAAAGGGAGACATAACAATAGAGAGATAACAATAAAGGAAGATTTAACAATAAAGAAAGGGATATAACAATAATGAGAGAGATAAAGGGAGAGATAACAATACAGAGAGATATAACAGTATAGGGAGATATAACAATAAAGGGAGATACAACAATAAAGGGCGAAATAACAATTAATTAAGGGAGAGAACAATTAAGGGAGATATAACAATAAAGGGAGAGATAACAAGAATGGAAGAGATAACAAGAAAGGTAGAGATAATAAGAACGGGATATATTAAAATAAAGGGAGATATAGTAAGAAAGGGAGATGTAACGAGAAAGGGGGAAGTAACAAGAATTTGAATTATAGCAAGAATTTGATCTATAAAAAAGGAAGATATAAGAAAGGGAGATATAACAAGAAATTGAGATATAAAAAAGGGAGATGTCATAAGAATGGGGATATAATAAGAAAGGGAGAAGTAACTAAGGAAGGGAGATATAATAAAATATTAAGAAAGGGAGATATAACAAGAAAGGGAAAGATAACAAGAAAGGGAGATATAATGAGAAAGGTAGATATAGGTTAAGGGAGAATAAGAGATGGTAACGAGGAAGGAGAAAGATGGTAACGAGGAAGGAGAAAGATGGTAACGAGGAAGGAGAAAGATGGTAACGAGGAAGGAGAAAGATGGTAACGAGGAAGGAGAAAGATGGTAACGAGGAAGGAGAAAGATGGTAACGAGGAAGGAGAAAGATGGTAACGAGGAAGGAGAAAGATGGTAACGAGGAAGGAGAAAGATGGTAACGAGGAAGGAGAAAGATGGTAACGAGGAAGGAGAAAGATGGTAACGAGGAAGGAGAAAGATGGTAACGAGGAAGGAGAAAGATGGTAACGAGGAAGGAGAAAGATGGTAACGAGGAAGGAGAAAGATGGTAACGAGGAAGGAGAAAGATGGTAACGAGGAAGAAGAAAGATGGTAACGAGGAAGGAGAAAGATGGTAACGAGGAAGGAGAAAGATGGTAACGAGGAAGGAGAAAGATGGTAACGAGGAAGGAGAAAGATGGTAACGAGGAAGGAGAAAGATGGTAACGAGGAAGGAGAAAGATGGTAACGAGGAAGGAGAAAGATGGTAACGAGGAAGGAGAAAGATGGTAACGAGGAAGGTCACAAAGGGTGAGACAGCACAAACTATTATCAGGGTCACTCCTTAACCCTCCCTCCTTTTTCTTCCTCCTACCCTGCCACCCTGCCACCCACACCACCCTGCCACCCACACCACTCTGCCACCCTGCCACCCACGCCACCCTGCCACCCACGCCACCCTGCCACCCACGTCACCCTGCCACCCACACCACCCTGCCACCCTGCCACCTACACCACCCTGCCACCCACGCCACCCTGCCACCCACGCCACCCTGCCACCCACGTCACCCTGCGACCCACGTCACCCTGCCACCCACACCATCCTGCCACCCTGCCACCCACACCACCCTGCCACCCACGTCTCCCTGCCACCCACGTCACCCTGCCACCCACACCATCCTGCCACCCTGCCACCCACACCACCCTGCCACCCACGCCACCCTGTCACCCAAGCCACCCTGCCACCCACGCCACCCACGCCACCCTGCCACCCACGCCACCCTGCCACCCACGCTACCTGCCACCCACGTCACCCTGCCACCCACGCACCCTGCAACCCTGCCACCCACGCCACCCTGCAACCCTGCCACCCACGCCACCCTGCCACCCACACCATCCTGCCACCCTGCCACCCACACCACCCTGCCACCCTGCCACCCACGCCACCCTGTCACCCACGCCACCCTGCCACCCACGCCACCTTGCCACCCACGCCACCCTGCCACCCACGCCACCCTGCCACCCACGCTACCCTGCCACCCACGCCACCCTGCCACACACGCCACACACGCCACC